ACCAAAGTTTGGTTATCCATTCCTCAGTTGTTGGACATCTAGGTTGTTTCCAAGTTTTGGCTATTGTAAATAGTGCTGCGATGAACATCGGCATTGCCTGATTTTATGAAGGGTGTTAACTTCAGTTCCAAATGGATGAAAGACTTCAGAGATTCAAACTAGCCCTCCTACTTTAACTCCCCAACCCTGCTCCCACGCACACATTTTTGCCTACTGTTCCTTGTTTTATGCATTCTTGCTCTCTTTTCCATTTCAACTTCTCTGCCTCTCTGGCTAATCTCTGCCTTTTTGCCACAGAAGCCAGAGTGGGAAAAGCTGATTGAAAGAGGAGTCTTAGAAGAGGAGAAAGAGGAAAAGGTTCTAGTGTTGCTAAGTACAAGCAATGCTCTGATAATTCCTGTCCTTTTTTCTTCCTCACATCTGGATGAGAATTGGACTTTTAAAAGTTATTTTCTTGCAATGGAGCAGTGGAGTAGAAAGGGTGTACACCTACTGTGTGCCAGGAACTGTGCTTAGTGCTTTCCATGTGTTGTTGTGTGTCACTGAGTTCATTCTGACTCATAGTGACCCTTTATGACATAGTCAAACTGTCCCCACAGGGTTTCCTAGGCTGCAATCTTTATTGGAAGGAGCTCTGGTGGTGTAGTGGATAAGGCATTTGTCTGCTAACTAGAAGGTCAGTGGTTCAAACCCACCAGCCAGCCACTCCACAGAAGGAAGATGGGACAATCTACTTCCATAAAGATTTACAGCCTCAGAAACCCAATGGGGGTCACTATGAGTGTGAATTGACCTGGTAGCAATGAGTTTGGTTTTCTGTTTTGGTAATCTTTACTGGAGCAGATAATGGGTTGAACAGCTACCCTTTGGGTTAGCAACCCAGCACTTAACCATTGTGCAATCAAAACCACAAAACCAAACTCGCTACCATTAAGTCGATTCTGACTCATAGTGACCCTATAGGACAGAGTAGAATTGCCCCATAGGGTTTCCAAGGCTGTAAATCTTTATTGAAGCAGACTGCCACATCATTCTTCCTTGGGGTGGGTTCCAACCCTCGACCTTTAGGTTATCAGCCAAGGGCTGAACCACTGTGCCACCAGGACTCCTTTTCTCCACTCATGTATAATCCTTTAAAATCCCAAAATTGAAGCTCAAAGAGTTAAGTAATATGCCCATGACCCCACAACTGCATATTGGTTTCCATTAGATACAACGGGAAAGCTTTTCAGAAATGAATGGATGGAGAAGAACCGACTTTTTCGAGCCTGGCCTGCCTGCTCCATTCTCAGCTGAGCTCCAACACACTTTGGCATTTCAGGACTATCACCCCGGTCTCGAGCCACTGTGGCCCACTGAGGCGCACGGGGGGGGGGGGGCCGGGTCCCAGCATCAGGCAGCGAGGGAGTAGGCGAGACCAGCGGTGGCAGGCGTGACCAGAGGTGGCAGGCTCTGGACCCAGGAGCTGAGAGTGCTTAAAGGAGGGGCGGGGCGGGGCGGTCTCGGCCCCGCCCCTGCCCCTCCAGGCGCTCACATTGGTCTAACGCTTCCTGGCCCCATCCCACTGCCCGCCTCCAGGAGCCGCTTAAAGTGTGCGGAGCAGGTGTCTCGCGTGGAGCTACAATTTTGCGCTAGAGCCTTGGTTGCCGCGCGCCCATTCATTGCTTAAACAGCTCTCAGTGTCCGCGGCGCCCACCAGCGGGAAGAGTTCCTGCGGACGCACAGTCACCAGGGGTTTGACCATAGAGGGGCCGAAAGCTTGTTAAGCCCGGGCCGGCCATGCAGACGTGCGCCAGGGCCTGGGCGCTGCGCCTGGGCCGCGGACCCGGGGGCGGCCGGCACCTGGTAGGGGTCGGGGGACGGCGTTGGGCAACCCTGGGCCGGGACAGCGGCAGTGGAGGGGACAGCAGCAAAGGGGCCTCACGCCTCCTGGAGCGCCTCCTGCCCAATCATGACGACTTCGCACAGAGGCACATCGGCCCTGGGGACAAAGACCAACGAGAGATGCTGCAGGCCCTGGGACTGGCGGTAAGGACTCCCCGGCCTCGGCCTTCCCTGACTCTGCCCGCGCGGCCTCGGGCCATATATTGAGCCGGCAGTTCCGCGTGGACCCCGCGCCCCAGCTTCCCCTGCCTGCTCATTTTCTCCACCCTCTCGTCGCGCCTCAAAACCTGGCATTTTTTAATCGAAGACTTGGTCAACTGTAGTCGCCTGCGGATAAGCTCTAACTTTACAAGACCTAGAAGACCTGGTTAGTCTGGGTTTATCCGATTATCTTCTGTTGCGGACGGAATTCCACCCCAGAGTGGCCAAGTCACCTTCCCGCTTTCTTACTTCCTTTCCTCTGGGTGACTTGTGGTTTGCTCAGTTTTTCTTTTCTCTTTGAAAAGCACCCAGATTTAATGCGATTTAAATGAGGTTCCCACAAGCCTTTGTAGGTGAAAAACAGAGGTTTTAACTGTTTTTCACTCGGAAGCACTTTGCTTGGCCCTTAGTGGTCACCGACTTCCGTTTGACTTTCAGAGCATTGATGAGCTGATAGAGAAGACGATCCCCGCCAGCATCCGCTTGAAGAGACCCTTGAGGATGGAAGACCCCGTGTGTAAGTGGCCGGATAGATTCCGGTCTATTTTCTTTCTGTGGGTGCTGAAAGCCCAGCGCTTGGTCAGAATGGCTCTGGGCCTTGAATATGTTGATTAAAATAACACAACGGAGGGTATCTAGGAGGGTGGGAGAGTTGGTTCCGGTAGCAATGATTTCCATGCAGCGTCTTTATCCCAGAACTTCCCAGAGCTCTACAGCAACCTTGACTGGTGTGGGGAAAGGCGTGGGCAGTACACAAGCACCCCAGTTCCCTGGCACCATCACAGGGCCAGATTTCTTTCATGCTATGGGTTGAGAAGTATCACCATCTCCTTTGTTGTTGTTAGCAGCCTTAAGTGGTAGAATTCTGCCTTACATGTGGGAGGCCCTGGGTTCAATTCCTGGCCAGGGCACCTCATGTAACACTACTACCAGGTCTGTCAGTGGAGGCTTGCATGTTACTATAATCAATTCATGGAGTCTCTGGCAGTGAAATGGTTAAGTGCTTGAATACCAGCCAAAATGTTGGTTGTTCAAATCCATACGGGGCACATGGGAAGGCAGCCCTGGAGATCTGCTTCTGAAAGGTCACTGCCTTGAAAACCCTGTGGAGCAGTTTTACTCTGCACATATGGGTCGCCATGATTTGGAATAGACTCAGTAGCAACTGAGAACAATTATGTGATCACTTGATAGATCAGCAAAGAGATCAAAAAAGGAATATGGAATTGACTTAGGTCAGGCAACCAGGTAAGTGACAAAAATGAGACAGAGACTCATATACCTGGCCTCACAGCCCAAGAGTCTTCACAACACAGGAGCTGTGAATTGTCCTCTTATAGCACATTGGAATTTTACATACTGAAAGCCAGCAGTACTTTTCAGGTCTGAGTAGCTGGAAAACACAAATAAGATTGATGATTGGTCAAGCTGTTTACTCACAGACTTCCTTGGAATTTTATTTTATACTTAGTTTTTCTTTTTAACTTTATTAATGCACAAATATTTTGCCACCAAGTATGAAGTGGAGAATTTGAACATTACTTTCCTTATCCTCCTTCCACCCACTTCCCAAACAAAAAACCAAGCCACTCAAATTCTAGGTTTCCCTCATGTTTAAAGAGGTTTCCATTGGGTGTTTTATGCCTGAATTACCAGCTGACTATCTAATTTTTGTATTCATACATCTCATATTCACTGAGAATAGCTTCTGCTAAACCTTCTGTCTGAACTTGAATATGTCCCTCATTTAATGCTCATTTTACTATTCAGTATAGTGACTTTGTCAAAATATGTTTTTTTCATGATCTGAGGGCTGCCCTTCAGAGGTATTGACGTGGGTATTTGACATGCATGGACTAAGCCGAGAATCCACGAGTCAAGGGATTTTTAAGTCAAGGACTTTAAAAAAAAAAAAAGAATTCTCATCTGGTTTCAAATCATAGAGATGTTATCTCTTTTACAACAGGTCAAGAGAGTGGGCAAATGTGTTTTTAGGTCTTAGGATAAAAATAATATATAGATGGTGCTTTAGTTATCTAGTGTGGCTGTAACAGAAATAGCACAAGTGGGTGGCTTTAACAAACAGAAATTTATTTTCTCACAATTTAGGAGGATAGAAGTCCAAAATCAGATGCCAGCTTGAGGGGAAGGTTGCTCTCTGTAGGCTCTGAAGGAAGGTCTTTGACTCTTAAGCTTCTATTCCTTGATTGTTTGGTGATCTTCCTGTGACACAGCATCTATTTTCCCCATCTCTGCTTCTCTCACTTCCTTGTTTCATTTCTTTTATATATCTCAAAAGAGACTGACTTAAGACACACCCTGTACTAATAGTGTCTCATTAACATAACAAAGAAAACTCATCCCCAAATGGAATTATAACCATTGCAGGGATTAGGATTTACAACACAAATTTTTGGGGAACACAGTTCAGTCCTAACAGATGGCAAGCTCTTTGTTTTAAAGTAGACAACTTGTGGTAGGGTACCAATTGGTTATCATGGACCTCAAGCTCTGCAGAGGCCTGCTGTCCTTGTTGGTTTTGAACATAACCTTTTTTTCCCCAGTAGCAGGGAACTTGTTCATAGAGGAGAAGCTGTACTTGTTGAATTAAACTAATAGGAACCCAGACGGAATAACAGATGGAAGACTTATCCTTTCGATTTTGAGAAATCAGAATAGAAATCTTGATATGCTGACTGTAGAGAAAGTGACCAAAACACAAACAAAACCTACTGCCCCACAAGTCAGTTCCAACTCATACTGACCCTATAGGACAGAGTAGCCTCATCTTTCTCCTATGGAGCAGCTGGTGGGTTCAAACCACCAAACTTTTGGTTTGTTGGTTTGCAGTAGAATGCTCTAACTACTGCACCACCAGAGCTCCATAGAAAGTAAAGGGTTATGCGTGTTTTAAAAGCAAGCCTTAGGTGATTATTAAAACAAGTAAACAAAAAAATGATGGAAAGTCCTGGGACTTTCAAAGTCAGAATTAAACTCTTTTTCACCATATCTTCTGAAATAAGATGTCCTTTCAGAACATTGAGGATATCTGGTGGTGCAGTGGTTAAGTGCTCGGCTGCTAACTGAAAGGTCAGCGGTTCAAACCCACCAGGCTCTCTGTGGGAAAAAGATGTGCCATCTGCTTCCATAAAGATTTCTGCCTTGGAAACCCTATGGGACAATTTTATTCTGTTCTGTAGGGTCACTCAGAGTCAGAATTGACTCATATGTCAACAGATTTTTAAGAGCATTAGAGTGTATATTATTTCATTCAGCTACTTGGTTCCAGCTGACTAATTTGAACATCAGGAGATTTCATTTGTCCTCCTTTCTCTTTGGAAGTTGCTTTTCACAAGTGACTTGCAATTTGAGTGTAAACTTTAAACTCAGCAATTTCTGTGTGATTTGGGCTGGTTCTATCTGATTAGCTTAACTTAGAGTAACTAGTGAGGTGACACAGAGAAAATACTGCACAGTCAGACATTTCCCCTTGTGCTAAAGTAGACCAGCTCTGTTCCAAAGCTTGCTTTCTGGAAGAGTGAGTCCTGGGGGTGGGGATGCAGCAGAAAGGCACCTGCATTTCACGATGACATGTGCACTTGTTCTGGCTAATGATTGCTATCCATGCAGAGCAGGAGCCCTGGTAGCACAGTGGTTAAACACTTGGCTTTCAACCCAAAGGTTGGGGTTCAAACCTATCACCTGCTCTTTGGGAGAAGGCTATGGCAGTCTGCTTCTGTTAAGATTTATAACCTTGTGGCAAGGGTGTAGAGAAATTGGAACTCTCATACACTGCTGGTGGGACTGTAAAATGGTACAACCACTGTGGAAAATGGTATGGCACTTCCTTAAAAAGTTGGAAATAGAAATATCATTTGACCCAGCAATCCCACTACAAGTGTATATATCCTTAAGAAGTGAAAGCTGGCACTGATAGATATATGCATATCCATGTTCATCATAGCACTATTCACATAGCAAAAGAAATGGAAACAACTTAAGTACCCATCAACAGATAAATGAATAACCAAAGTATGGAACATACACACAATGGAATACTATGCAACACTAAAGAATAATGAAGAATCTGTGGAACACCTCATAAGGTAGGTAAAATTGGAGACATTATGCTGAGTAAAATAAGTCAATCACAGAAGGATAAATATTGTATGAATCCACTATTGTGAGAAGTCAAGGAAAACTTTACACATGGGAGGAAACTTTCTTTGTTGGTTACCAGGGATGGGAAGAGAGGGGGGACAATTGCTAGACAGGTAAGAGACAAATACTGATTTGGGTGAAGGGAAAGTCAATATACCAAAAATGAATGACCAGCACAATAACACTAAGGAAAAAGGAAGCCACAGATTGGTGCACAGGAGGTGCATACAACAAATACATATACTTTTACATACATAATACTGCATTATCAGTAATAACAGACATTAATCTATGGGTGGATATGCAGGTAGACAGGCAAAATCCAGGTATAGGTAGGCAAAAGGGAATATACCTATGACTATATATAAGTTTGGCAGATGATACTTCTACATACAATTTGTAGAATAAGAATGTCCATTTATATATTATAGAGCTAACAAGGGGCAAAGTTATGATAACTTTTTAGCCACAGCCAACCACGCTGAGGGACCTGTGGGTTCTGGACTATGGTTACAGAGGACATCAAGCTCAATTGGCTCAACATACCACAGAAAAATATTGTTCTAGATACCACTGTGGTGAGTAGTGACTGGAGTCTTAAAAGCTTGCAAGCAGCCTTCTAGGTGCAATAATGGGTCTCTCCTTGTAAAGTCAAATAAGAATGAAGAAAACCAGAGACGCATGGAAGCAATTAGTCCAAGGGACTAGTGAACCATGTGAACCTCAGCCTATATGACCATGAGACCAGAGAAACTAGATGGTGCCTGGCTACCACTGTCAACCACTCGGAAAGGGATCAGTGCAGGAGATTCTGGATAGAATGGGAGAACAATGTGGAACAAAACTCAAAATCATAAAAAAAGACTAGGGTTACTGGTCTGATAGAGCCTGGTGAGACTCCCGAGACTATGGCCCCTAGTTATTCTTCAGGTCTGGAATTGAACTCACTCCTATGGCTTCCAGCCAAACAATAGACAGGCATATAGGGTGAACATTTATATCAGGTAGATACACTCCTTAGAATGATCAATCATGAGAGAGCAGACAGGCAGTATTTACACAGGGAGAGATATCCCAGGGGGCAGAAATGCACAGGAAAGAAAAATACAGGAAAGAGGTAACTACAGGGAGGAAGTGGGAAGAGAGCTGTTACATTGTGGGGAATTGCAGTCAATGTCATGAAACAAAATGTGTATGAACTGCTATATGGAAAATGAATTTGCTCTGTAAACTTTCACCCAAATCCTTTCTCTCTCTCTCTCTCTCTCTCTCTCTCTCTCTCTCTCTCTCTCACACACACACACACACAAAGACTATGGCCCCTAGTCATCCTTCAGGCCTGGAATTGAACTTATT